AAGAAAGTGACAGAGTTTTCCGTCAGTCGCATTCTGCGACTTCTTCAAGCTCACTCTCCACCTCCACCTCCTCAAACTCTTCCTCGGCTTCGTCTTCGACTTCGACTCCCACCTCCACTTCCACCTCCTCCGAGGTCCCGAAGACAGAGTGGGTCGAGGGTAGTGATCCACCCTCCGACTGCCCGTCGTCCGAAGGAGGCCGGGTAACGCTCAGTTCGAAGAGGACGACAGCCGAGTACCCGCCTGGGAAATCGAGGAGGCCGTGGACCTCGAGCGTGCCCACCACCGGGCGGTGGTGGCGGTGCCACACGGCTACCGCGGAGGTCCAGAACAGGATGTTCAGAAGCACAGGCGCTAGAAAGCCGCTCACCTGAAGCGCCAAAACAAAAAATCGGTGCGCAACTCACTCACAACCAAACAAAGCGAACCCTCCGGTACCAGAGCCCTATGTTTAACAGAAACCATATACCTTTCAACGGCTCAACCAGTTTACTTCGAGTGGTCCCCGCCATAGCATCTGCAAACAAAACATGTTTTTTGACCTTCTATCTGGTCTGTCTTCAGCAAATAACCCTGGAAAGTTTACCTGACGCTCTCCTCAGGTTCTATCTGGAATCAAGCTCACACTCTACCTGACGTAGCTTCTGCTCCTTTGACCGGCATATCTACATTCTGTCCGTCCTATCTTCTGACTCTCTCTCTGATACGTCTTCTGCTAATCTACCTAGCAGGTCTTCTGACGGACCTCACCTGCCACCTGCAAAAATAAAAACTGATGCTATTCTTGTGGTGCCTCGTACCAGGCGGTCAGATCGTTGACCACCATCCCGCGCGGCGCTGGGACGTCTCCGCCGGCCGGAAAGGCTTCAAAGCTTACCCGGCATCGGCCATTGCCGCCACTAAGCTTCATCAAACAGATAGGCGTGTAGGAAAATGCCGATCAAGCCTTGAAGGGGCGGTGGGACGGCAACAAGATGTTCCCAAAATGCAGTACAAGGCCCAAAGCAGGCGAGCCGACGGCCCGATCCGAAGCAGACCGCCCCCTTGTTGGCGCCTGGGCGCCCACGCGTCTTCTGGACGTACGGCTTCAGCATTCAAAGGCAAAGGCAGCCGTAGAATGTCCAGGTTGCCCGTCGATCCGCTGCAGGCCCTAGCAAAGGAGCCGTGAGGCAAGGAATGCTCCGAGCTCTCGAGGTCAGGCGTTCCGGGTCGGAAATGTGTCGGTGGTATCGCGAACGGTTGTCTTCTGCAAATGTTGGCGACAGGTCCCCCCAGTCTTCTGCCATACTCCAACCTAGCCAAGACCGTTGAATGACAACCTAATGCATTAATCCCGCAAGCACAGCCACGAATATCTCGCAGCCAGCCTCTGCCCGCCGTGCCTCACAACCGATGGAACCCTCAAACACTGCTTGCCTAAGGTCTTCAAAAAAAGGAAATCTCCTACGGTAACGACCTTTTCCATCCTTTTACATTAGGTTGTATTTCCTACCTGAGAGTGAATCTGTAACATCTCACACGGCTCGTTGAGTCCCAGGCTCTTCGGCTATAACTTGGCCGCCACCTAACCGAGCCAACCGTGGAAACTTGAGACGCAGCTGCGGAGCAGAACATATATCTCTACGGCTCACATTGAACTACTGCTGTCAATCCACACACACGCCCCGGCCGGCTGAACTATAATTAATTGTTTTTTCACTCTCCGTAGCTACAGGCGCAATCGCTTCAAGAGCCCCGCTTGCTTCTGTCACAGTGCGCGGCGGGCCGGCTGTACTGTCAAAGGCCCTGCGCAAAAGGTTTCCCCTCATGCTAGCTTTCAAGCTAAAGGTATTGACAAGAGGGGCCCAGTCGCACTCAGCCCAGCTGCATGGGAAAGCAAGCGACGGACGCCGGCACGTCAGTCTTCGATGTCACTGGTGTCCGTCTCGATGTCACTGCTGTCCGTCGTAGTTTTGAGCCTGCTTGCGGAGGAGCGTGCGCACCTATTTTACTTGGGCTAAAAGAAGCCTACGGCAGGAAAGTTGGTATCGATCAACCGCAGGTATGCCTGCATATCATGTAGTGTAGAGATACGACACTTGTTCATAGCCAAAAGGTCAGCTTTGAAAATTCCCTTGCAGAGCCAAATCCTGGCCACGAGCCTTTTGGAGCCAGATTTTGTGTTTTTGACACTTTCGGGCGGCATAGCTTGTCATAGGAGCTGCTTCTTTTTGGCACGTCAGGACGGCACAGCCTGTTTTGGGAGCTGCTTTTTTTCACGGCAAGTCACTTGGGATTTGTATTGTGAACGTGGCTGTGAGTCAGCAGCAGTTCTGAATGAATTTACCTTGTTGCCAGCCCACCTTTGGCCAAATCCTGGCCGGAGGCCGTTTGGAAGCAAATTTCTGCCATCCGGCGGAGGCTCTGCCTAGGGTTGTATTGAGCTCGGGGAGCTGATGGCTGCCACAGCTCCCCTCCGCTTGCTATCGGCTGCCGCTCGGGCAGGAAGGCGCGCACCAGGTGCGCGCTACTGTTTGGGGTTTTAGGGTTTAGGATGGTTTAGAGTTTTAGGGTTTAGGGTTCGTCGTCTGGGAAATCTCAAAACAGTGGCCCTGCGCAGGTGTTTGAGCATGTTGAAGGATAATGCTTGAACATGTTTAAACGCCATTTAAACCTTCCGGGCAACACACAGCGCCTGGCCGTAATATTACATTACATAATATTACATTACATTACACTATATTATGTTATATTATATTATATCATATTATATCACATTGTATTTTAAAATATATTATATTAGATGATATGACATGACATAACATTATAGTATAGTATAGTATAGTATAGTATAGTACAGTACAGTACAGTATAGGTATAGTATAGTATAGTGTAGTATAGTATAGTATAGTAGAGTAGAGTAGAGTATAGTATAGTATAGTATAGTAAGTATAGTACAGTATAGAAATGTATATCATATTATGTATGTATGTTGATATTATATAGTTATATAATATATCTTATGTAGTACATACATATCCTGATAGCTCTGTTAGGCCATAGCATGCTGTTTCTGAGGGATGGTCTTGGACTCTTGGACCGGAAAACAGCCCTAAATCCATTGAATTCTGATCATGTTCAGATCATGGATTCCCCATTAAAAATAGCCATTAAAATCGATGGGACATATAGATGATTATAGATATCTATAGGACCTATAGTCCATATAGATGATCGATATCTACGTAAGCATCTGCCATTTTGAAGGATATCAAAGGGGTAGAGCCCATCTTCAGAGAGCACCTCTGGGTTGTCACTCTTCATGGATTTGATCTCGGCTTTCATCTTGCGACGCTCCTTGTTTCAGCAGAACTTGGAGTGGCCATGTCCAACTTGTTTCATGAAGCAAACAGCCAAGGACCAAATCGAAATGTTCCAAAAAATGTTCAAAAAAAAAGATTTGGCGCCGTGGTCAGCCCTGTTTTTGGGACTGGCATAAATCATCAGAAATCTCACGAAAGGACATGAGAAGCAGCACAACGAAGGTTATTTTCCTGCGATGACATGGAGGTGTCCGACTAGTCATGATGACATGGGAGTACCCCAACATTGATGGTTTACCAAAGGAAAATCCCGTTAAAACGGATGATTTAGGGGTACCCCCATTTCAGCCTCCACATCCTGAACAGAGTATCTTTTCGGCAGGCACAAAATGCAGTGGATTAGAGTCTGGAAATTGCGAGAAACCGATTCGACGTACTGTACATATAAAGAATAGCAACTTTTCTTGCCGGTGATCCTCAACCACGGCTACCCTCTGGTAAACTAACATAGCTATTGAAAATAACCATTTATAGTCGATTTTCCCATTGAACATGGTGATTTTCCATAGTTATGTTAATTCACCAGAGGGTACTCTTGCAATGTCCTTTCTGAAAAACATCCCACGTCACTTCCAAGTCCGAGATTCATCTTCATTCAGCCCATCCCAAAACAGTTGAGTCTTCTCAAAGGACTGCGGGGGGCTGCACAGAAATTTGCTGACCCACTGTCTAGGTCTTAAAGTGACCACTTTCTACATGGGTTTGACTGAAAATGTGGTATATGGACATCCTTAGAAGAGAAAAACGCTGCTTTCAGCCTCTCAAGCATGGGAAAACCCGACACAATCGAAAATCATGTTTCGCTTGTCTCATATCTCAGTAGATCTTGTCAGCAATACATTCTGATGGGAGCATAACACCATGCAATGCTATGGCCTATTTGCATTTGTGCACCCATCTAATTCAATGTTACATAACACGCAGATCATCGCAGATCTGCTGAACACAAATCCGCCACGCAAACAGACTAGTGATACTAATGCGGCAAGACCCAACAATAAACTGCCCATTTTGCATGGCATTTTCCAGCTATTTCTGGGACCTGTATGGATGTTTATTGTTGGGCTTTTCACATTATACTAAGCATCTTTGGTGATGTAAAGCCTTCCAAGTGTCACCGCTCGCTTGCTGCCACTGCGCTCGCATAGCCCTGGCCCACTTCTTTTTCACCTGAAGGGCTGGTCCACATCAGCTGTGTCTGTGCACAAGCTTGCAGCCTATAGATCCATATAGATCCCAAAAAAGATCCATAGAAGGCATGTTGAAGTCTGCTCCCTGCTGAAAAAAGATTTGAAGCTCAATTTACTGCGATGTTCTACTGCCATAATTATGGCATAGTTATGCCATCGCGCCTTTTGCGAAAGAGAATACATACCTGGACGAAAAACCTGAGATTTCGAGTGAACATGTTTGATCCAAGCAAACGCTGACGATTTAGAAGAAATGAGCGAGAATCTACCATGTGGCCACCCTGGAGAGTTTGGGATTATTTGGTGCGGTTAAAACATGTTAAAACCGCGTGGAAGTGTCAATCGCAGAGTGATAAACCTTTGCTCGTTTTTGGGGAGGAGAACCCCCCATTCACAATCCAAACTAATCCAGCAGAATCCAACTCCACTGGAAGCGAAGCTCGAGTCATTATTTAAACATTACAACATAGAAATAGCGGTATAAATAAGGGTGAAGCCTCATCCTTTGCACCTGCCGAGCGCTCCGGCTTCCTCGCGCACCGCGCAGCGTTTCCAGGGGCCCCTCCATCTGCAGCCTGCCATTGGGCGCGCAGTAGTCAAAGAGGTCATCCACCAGCTGTTCACATTTCACCTACAGCTGAAGCCCTGATGATCACTGATGATCACTGATGCGACGTGCCATGCGACGAGAAGCCAAGTTGGGACCCAAGTCTGTTCGAAAAAATGCAGAAATCATTGATAAATCATCCGAAAAATCTCGAACGATCCGAGAAACGTTGATTGGATTGGATGCCTTTAAGCTAAGAGTTTCACATGGTGACACGAGATGCTCATTCCTTGAGTGTGGCTGAATTCACATGCAAGTTTCTATGCTCTTAAATGGCGGACCAGTATAGAAAGGAACCAGATTCTTGGCAGGATCCTACAAGATCTACAAGTATCTACAAGTAAATGTCCCAAAATATGTTAACAATATGTTTCATGTTTTTTCAGCGTATTCTGCGAAACATGTAGTTCTATCTCAGAATCTACAGTTTTCCTTCAAAAAAAAACGACTTGCCATCCTGGTGGGGACTCCATAAAGGCGTCTCCAATGTTTTCAGGTGCACAAAAAGTATCAAAAAGTCGGCGAAGCCGGCTGCCACGACTAGCCACGACCAGCAGCACTGGAGATGGTGTGACCAACCCCTCAAGCAAGAACAGGAGCTGTAGGACATCCTGCGGTTTGAAAAGTGACAAGTAGCTGATTCAGTGATATGGCTATTGGTCAAAACCCTGGCATCTAGTGACCCCCAAAATAGCTGGTAAATAGATGTTCATCCCATTAGAATTGATAATAATAGGTTTTTACCCACCCCCATATGCCATACTGATCAATACTGTTCCATTGGTTAAAGAACGGCGGAGGTTGTAGAACCCCTTCTACTACAAAAGAAATGCAAAGAGGACATCTATGTGGTGACAATGGACCAGTTCTTTTTCTGCCTGAACATACTTCGATCAAGGTCATTCTGCGAAGAGAGCAGTGTCACGAAAGATTGATGGAACCCAAGCCCGGCGAATCCGCCTGCCGCCTTTAGTATGGAGATGGGATTGGTGCAGCTGGGCTAGATCTTGTAGTGCTTGTAGTGCAGCTTCAAGCCGTCATAGGGACCATCATCGTCCAACATCAACACTTGAGAGACCAAACAAGGTCCCTCAGGAGATCTCAGGAGTCTTGATGCACTCTAGTCACACCAGAAACTGTCAGACAATAAAACAAAACTGTTACCCTCTGGTTATTTAACATAGACCCTGGCAGATAGGGGTTGGAAGATTAGTTTCCATTAAAACTAGGCTATTTTCAGGGTCTATGTTAATTTACCAGAGGGTACATTAAAATTATTAAAAGGACAATTCGTCGACGAATCACAGGATATGACGAAATTACCTTCGTGTGATCCCCACCAGCTGACATATATCGGGGGTTTCCATAGTCATGGGGTTACCCCCAAATGGATGGTTTATAAGGAAAAGTCCTATTAAAAATGGATGAGTTAGGGGTACCCCCATTTTAGGATACAACCATGTAAGATATTCTGACCATTTTTCTAACATTCGATCTGACATACATTTTGAAAGCCCAGACATGTTCTGACAACTTATCTCACTGACATAATTCTGACATTCTATATGACATGAATTCTGACGTTCTACGTGACACATAGTCTCACAATCTATGTGGTATTCGATGTGGCATATTCTGTGACATTCCAGACATGGCATTCTACGACAGGACTCATCTGACATACCCTCTGGTTATGTCAAAATAGCTATTGAAAATGGCCCATGTCGAAATAGTGAGTTTTCCCATTAATAGCATGGTGGATCTTTCCATAGTTCTCTGGATGTTTACCAGGCCGGGTAAATCCCATTAAATCCCATAAAACCACCATAAATTCCCATTAAACCACCCTAAAATGTCCCATTTCGTATGTCATTTCATTCACCAAGACGGTCCATGGATGTCTATCGATGTCTCCTGGGTGCTACGATCTCCACCAATGTCGATGAAGATCTTCAAACGTCCGTGCAACTGTAGCCTGCCGGAGGCGGTCCAAGGTCCGCTCCAGATGAGTCATGGCCTTTTTTGATGAGAAAAAGGGGGGGGGTTCCAAAGTCATAGTCATAGGGCTACCCCTCAATCATCCATAGGTATCCCCCATGATTATGGAAACATATGAGCCATGGTCAATACTCACTATATGGTTGATGGTCATCCCATCCATAATAAGGATCCTTATAATGGTTATTATAAATCCCTATGAACCATTGGATGACTAGCCCCTATTAATGGTTATTAACCATGAGTATTGACCATAGCTCATATGGAAACTGTTGGGCTTTGAATCCTGCCGAGTTGCTCCTGGCAATAATCTCGCAGCCGATCAGTCTCCTCGCACTTCGACTTGCAGCATCCCACATGACCACGAGATATCTAAAAAGGATGGTCAGATGAACTGAGATACCCTCTGGTGAACTAACATAGCAATTGAAAATGGCCATAGAAATAGTGGATTTTCCCATTAAAAATGGTGGATCTTTCCATTGCTATGTTAGTTCACCAGAGGGTAACATGGCCTTGGTTTCATGATAGTTTCATGAATATCTCAGATATTTTCCCTTGGTGAACTGGTGCCAGGATCAGCCGTCGAGTCCTGAAAACAGTCGAGCCACTCAAAGCGGCAACTGGGATGCCTGCGGCGGCTCTCCTCGCGGCTTTCGATGAATTTGATATTCAATGAGCATATATCCAAAAAGAATAACCTTAACATATATATATATTATATATATACATTATATTAATATTATATAGTAAATATTATGTGTATATATATATATATATATGTGTGTGTGTTTATTTATATATATATACATATATTATTTATGTTTATGTATTCATATTTATATATATACGGCTGCTTCAATAGCAAGTCAATCCGAAACTGAGAACTCGAAGTTCAACATCCTCGACGAGTTCTTTGCTCACATCGATAGCCACCACTGCAGCAGCACGCGACAGGACCTGTGTGCATTCCTTGGGGCAGCGTGGCATATCCCATGGAGATAACGTGGGTTTAAAACGAGAGACAGAAAATCTCTGAATGGGATTAAAATATATGCCTATGGGTCAAAACCTTGTACCCCTGGTGAACATCAAAATAGCTGGTTAAAATGGATGTTCATCCCACTAAAAATGGTATTAATAGGTATTGACCCATAGCCATATTGGAATGCTGTTGAAATCTGTTGGAGGTGTGAGATGTTCTCATGAGATTTTAACTCGTGAAATCTCGTGAATTCGAAATGAATTGTTCCTGCCTAGAATCTGTGTCGCATGAACTGCGTTTTTTACCCTGTTTGTTCTAACTCTGGGAATCGAGTGAGATAAAGGCATTCGACTGACAAGACGTTGCAAAGTCACTATACTGTAGTTCACCCTTCACGAGAAAGTCCAGCAATTGGGGCACTTCAATTGTCTTCCGGTTGATGGGCATCTTGATTCACCTGCTACTGTATAGCAGCCATTGCGCGTTTTTGTCCAAAATACTGACAGCAATAATCCCATGAATCCTATGAACATTTGTGGATCCAGTTCCATATGCTTTGGCCACAAGGTGCCACTATGTTAACTTTAACAATACTACTAGACTGAGAAATATCCAGTACAGTCTCTACCGACCTCATAGCATTATGAAGTCCTAGCTTTGCGTCAACATGACCACCCCGGATCAGGCAATCTCAGGCACTTAGGTGGTGACTTGTCACAAAAATCCTTGTCACGAGTCAGTACATCGCCCATCCCCAATACCTATCAGACCTGTCAAAGGCTCACCCAAAGAAGAGCCAATTTCCAAGACCGCGTCAGCCTTGCAGGGATCTTGCAGAGAAATGGGGAAGCAACTCAGCTTCCCAAATCTTTGTGAAGAAGCTAGGGGCGTTTTTGTTAGAGGATCACAGTCAAGAGCCCTTGCATTTGAACGAGTACATTGTGTACGTATGTAGTATAATATACTATCTGGTAAATTAACATAGACCCTGAGAATCACCAATTTTAAATGGAAACGAATCTTCCAACCCCTATCTGGCAGGGCCTATGTTAATTTACTGGAGGGTATATACTGTAATATCCACTTGGTGAAATGTGTGCAACTAAAAAAAACAGCGTGTATGTACATCGCGTGCAACTGACTCCGACGTGGGGGTGATTGACTTACTGTGGTCTGACTCTATGGGTGACCGATTCAGTCTGGTCTCTCGCGTGCAATATGGACATGAACATTATGTACACACATTACCCTCCAGTAAATTAACATAGACCCTGCCAGATAGGGGTTGGAAGATTCGTTCCCATTTAAAACTGGTGATTCTCAGGGTCTATTTTAATTTACCAGATGGTAGATGCATATCAAATAACTGAAAAGACTAAATTCACAGATAGGCTCACAATGATACCTGATATGGCCAGATACGGAAGTGAAAAAACAACTGGGAGAAACTCTCAGCGACATGAAGCTGAGAGAAATTCTGAGTTTCAGCGAAGTTGAAGCTGGTTTGCACTGCTGTAACTATGAGCTGGCAGCAGTATAAGACGAACGTTGATTTACATCATTGGGGTACCAGGTTGTCATAAATCCACATCAATCCCCTGCTTACATGCTTGGATTCCAACGCAAATTTATGTTCATCAAATTTCCATCATTGCGACATATTGCTACATATTGCTACACCATATCATTGAAACAATGTTGATATTAATGGATAATTAGCTGAAAATATCTGAAAATCATTGCTGATACATCCTCCAACCCTTAAATCACTGAAATAATTCCAATTCGCAAAAATTTCAGAAAAAAAATCCATCAGCTGCTACCATCATTGCTACATGAAAAATCACCATAGTTCCTGGTGAATTTTACTTCACACTTTGCTGATTTTCAATTGCTGAGATACCCTCTGGTAATTTAACATAGCTATGGAAAATCACCATTTTTCATGGGAAAATTCACTATTTCAATGGTGATTTTCAATAGCTATGTTGACATAACCAGAGGGTATCCATTTTGGTGAACCCAGCGGACCCGGATGGATCCAGGCCTTGGTCGTTGACTTGGCCAAGCGTCGGTAGCAGACGGTGTCTTTCACCACCAGCAGCGATTGACGCAGCGACTTTCCGGGTGACCTGTCAGGATCTTCCGGAAATTCATAGGAAATTCATGGGAAATTCATAGGAATTCATAGGAAGTTCATAGGAAATTCATAGGAATTCATGGGAATTATTGTGAACTATCATCTTCCTGAATCCTGGAAAACACAAGGGATCCAATTCACCAAGACCCCGGGATCGAACTCGAAATCGCAGAAAAATCCTGGGAGGATTTTGGGGGTTCAGAAGCCCAGGATCTGCCAATCACAAGCAGCTCATTCTTCATCCACATTCATCCTAGATCACAGTCAATCACAGTCAATCACAGTCACAAAAAACATCCAAAAACAGGCTAAGCCTCGGATTTTTTCCCTCATCCAAGGTCCAGAACCAGGATATTCCAGGATATTCCACCTATGTCGGCCACTTAGACCCGTTTCGTCCAAGATCCCCAAGATCACCTTCGTCGAAGCGCCGGGAGCAACTCATCCACTTCCAGCGCAGATACCTACCCAAAAGGCCCCACGGTAACTTCCAAACAAAACTTTGAAGGTCACGGTTTTAAACATGATATTTTATTCACAAAGTCAGAAAATCCTCTTGAATTTTAAAGTGGACCGAAAAAAAAATCTACAAAATCCCTGGCGATCTGCCTTGCGTGACTCCTACGCAGCCTCTGGATATCCAAGGTGCCTGCGCATGTTGATTCAGGCCCGCTTCGCCTGTGCAAGACAGACTGAGAGATGCAGACTTAGTGCGTGCAGAATAAGCCCAGAATATGCCAGTTTGGCTGAGTTTGGCTGAGTTTGGCTGAGTTTGGCTGAGTTTGGCTGAGTACACAGTACAGTCTTGAAGAACTCTGCTGCTTCTGCTGGTGCTGTTGCTGTTTGTTGTCGGCGTTGTTGTTACATTTTTTGTTGTTGTAGCTGTACGTCGTTGTGGCTTCTCCGGCGTAGTTGTTGCTGCTGTTCAAATTCTTGTGCTGCTTCTTACTGTTCCTGGTCTTTTTCCTATTCATCTTGATTCTGCTGTCCCTTGCTTTCAAAGCACGTTTGCTAATGCTGTGCAATTCCAGAGTGTTCTGTTTTTTCACAGCGAGCATGTCATCATTTACAAAATTGAAACGGTGCTGCGCTCCTCTGGCCCTGCGCTTCTTCTTAAGTCATGGTCATGTCATGTGCTTGCCAATTTTTGGCGTCTATGAAAGTGTGTGAGAGAGAGAGAGAGAGCATGGGTGAGAGGGTGAGTGGGTGAGTGGGTGGGTGAGTGCGTGAGTGTCTTTGTCTTTCTGCCCCATCGAGACACGTCACATCTTGCACCAATCTTAGCGTGTGCACTGCACCGACAGTAGAAACCTATGCGTCTACAATTCCACTGAATGGTTGAGGCAGATGAGGCAAAGCACCGCTCCAGCGTGTTCCAACCCCTGAATTTCAACGACTTTGACTTAAAATATCATCAAAAACACCAGGCAACGCGCATCGCAACGCGGATTCGTTTCGGCACGTCCCAGCGTTTCATCGCAGCGTTTCAGCAGGTCCACCTGATTCTGCCCAACCGATCAAAAAGTCTCCGCGGCGATTGTCTGGTCGTTGGACACATTGCCAGCAATGTGATTGGAAAGGCAACGACATCACTCCGATGGTTTGATCCTTCAGAATCATCAACAAAGTCAACAGTTAGGGCGTGGTTCAATGGAAATGAGCTATGCCAGTATAGCCCAAAAATTGGAATGATCAACGGAATTTGGATGATTTTTGGGATATTCTAATATTTTCTTCAGACACACCTTTTTTTTGGTAATTTTGAATGGAAGTCTGGGGTACCTACTAGCTGCGTCGGCAGATGGGAAACCGCAGCTGTCTTTTTGTGATAGTTGCTCTGCCTCACTTCGACCTGTGAACTGTTTTGAACTGAGATGCCTCGGATTGCTAATACGACGAATACGATATATATGAGTCATATGACCCATAGGATCCATGGTGCTGGTATATGTGCTAACATGGGGTATATTGATGGGATCCATGTTACCATATATAGCATACATGGATCCGTCATGGGTGATACAATACAGTCAGTTCCATCATCCGAAAATCTGACGAAGATGTTGTCCATTCCGAGCCAAAACAGCTTCCAGGTGTTGGCAAAAAATCGGGGATGGGAAGGATGGTGGGAAGATATGGAAACCCAAAACAAAAGGCCCTGGTTCTTGACATCAAAAGGGCCTTGGGATACGTTGGGATTTATGCACTTCACTTAGTTCATCCAAATCTGATTTTTGATTCATAGATTTTGAACAGAAAAATCTCATCATCTCAACAGATTTTAAGCTTCACGACCTGCATTGATGCAGAAGTTTGCCACGGATGGTTTGCTCGTGGAAACTCAAGTTCTGTTGTTCAGAAAAGGCCGAATTGGAGCAGATCCTGTCGCTTCCTGCCTGCATGCAGGTGGAATTGGTAAAGAGACTGATGTAGCAGCTCCCAACCTGTTGAAATGCCAAATGGAAGGCGCCATGTTTGATCCGGAGAAGCCCACCTCGATCTGGATAAGTTACACAATGATACTGGGTCCTGTCTGGGCACATCACTCAGGTGAAAATGAAGATCTTGTCTGAATTTTGGAAGAAAACCTCATGATTCACATCATTCTTGGCGTGCTGTTCGCTAAACCTGGGCCAACATCTGAATCCATGAAAGCTGAGGCCTCCATGTACCCTCTGGTAAACATACAAAAAACTATGGAAAATCACCATTTTTAATGGATAAATCCACTATAAATGGCCATTTTCAATAGCTTTTTGTATGTTTACCAGGCCGGGTATCCAAAATCTCCCATTTTCTGTACCAATGGGCCGTACACCCAATGGAATTCTATCTAGTGCACGAGAGCTGAGATGTTCTGAGATGCTCCTTTCTGAATGGAGGTGCTCATCAGGGTTTGTCTGATACCATGGGGATACTCTAAGAGGGATACCCAGAAAAATTTCGCCATTTTCGTCATTTTCATAGATAAAATCTTCGGTATAAAATGATGATCATCCATGATAATCCCAAAAAAATCCATGGGAAAATCCATGGGGCTAAGACAACCCGTTTTTTTCCGACAACCCCCGGAGGCCACCGGCCTCGTATCCTCGAGTGGCTTGAGTCAGCTGGAGTATCTAGGCTTTTCGGTTGCTGAGGTTCCCAGCGAACCAGTTTCCAATTTCTCTGTTCAAATCTGTTTAATCTCTTTAAAGCTGTTTACTAGCGTTGATTTTGAATAGTGGTTCATCATGGTTCATCAAATGAACTTTGGGGACGTAGCTTCGGTGCAGCGAGAGACAAAAAGAGAGAGAGAGAGGGGGGAAAAAAAAACAGGAAAAAAAATGATGCAAAAACAAAATAGTAAATCCGTGTGTAGTAATTGTCGTGATCAACTCGTGAGAGATTTTTGTTTCACGGCTTTGGAGTAAATTTTTGCGAAGCTCTTTTACTGTCTCTCAGCCCTCCAGGCCCTCCACAATTACGGACACGAAAATCAAGATCAAAGCTGCCACGATGCCTCACATGGTACGCTGAGGACCACCCCACCAGCATCGGCTGAACCAATCACTCTGCCAGGTGTCCTAAACATAACCAGTCAGGTTAAAGCGACTTAATACCTCAAGAACTGCACATTCCCACCAAAAAGAAATCAATAACTCTTGTCTTGGCTATGACCCTTTCCAAACGAGTCTAGAGTTGCTTTTGTTGTTGGTGCTGCTGTTGTTATTTTGTTGTTGTTGTTGTTGTTGCGGTTGTGGTTGTTGTTGTTGTTGTTGCTGTTGCTGTTGCTGTTGCTGTTGCTGTTGGTGTTGTTCCTGCTGTTGTTGTTGTTGCTGTTGTTGCTGTTGTTGCTGTTGTTGCTGCTGTTGTTGCTGTTGGCGTTGTTGCTCCCGCAATATGTTGTTGACGCTATCGACGCTAGTGCTTTCGAGATTGTGTTTCGATTGCTGGGTTTCACCACTCCAGAATAACAAGCGGCAGTATTTCTCTCTAAAAATCCAGAATTCCTTTAAAATCCTTACAGTAAAACACTATAGCCCGTAGGATCCATGTATGGTATATATGCTAACATTTGGGGTATATTGATGGTAAATGTTACCATATATAGCATACATGGATCCTATGGGTAGTTCAACAGTAGAGAAATACTTGGCAGAAGTACTTCCACGGAGCCATAGCATCTGCAGTGTTCTTTTCAGAAATCGCAATACCAGTAGTTGCAAAGTGTATTCCTGGACAGAATGGCAGTTTTTTTTTACAAATGTGCGAAAATGTGCAAGTTATTTTTTTTCTTTGGTAGTTTTCATTTCAATACTGGGGGATTAAAGACACAGCCTTACTTTCAGAAAGTGCTGCAATCATTGCAACAAGAAAAATGAATACTCAGCATGCTGCAGTCCGAGCATGTGAAGTATTCCTTTGAACGACGCAGAGCCTGTTTTGTGCAGTCTGCCCTTAAACAAGCAAGCATTGTTCATTTCAACAGCGGTATTTTTAAAAGGCGCAATGGCCGTTTAAACTTGAGGACAGTAATTACACTACGAAAGCACTATTCCTATCAAATATGCAGGACGCCTTGGAAAAACACGGGAATCCTTTGAACAGTGCAGCATTCAAAGTGCAGGATTTCTCCAAAAACTGCAGCATTTTTCCCTGGAGAAGGACCCAAACCTCACTGCCGTGTCCACGGAGTCAATGGTGACAATCAAAATAGCTAGTTGGTAAGTGGGAGGTCGTTCCCTAAATATGGTATCATGTACAATATATTTATGCATGGTATGATAGGTTTTGATCCATCCTCATATAAGTCTTCTAGTTGCTAACCGCATCACCCATCACACCTACAATGAAAACTCTTGCTGGCTGAGAACGACTCGCAAGTAGACGAGAAGAGCGTGCTTGAACTAAATGTCAGTTCTCGGCAACACTGGAGAACTTTGGATCCACACATGGCAGGACTTTTCATGTACAATGGTCTTGTTATGCATTCTTTTGAATGAAAAGAAGCGTTGGCAGAACCTAAGCCATCACAATCTTGGACATCTTGGACATCTTGGACATCTTGGACGGCCTCCAGCGCAGTACCAAATCCACGCATTGCTCCTCTTTGGCCGCTTCGCTTTTGGTGCCTCACTTGGACCAACATGACGGTCAGATGGTGTCTTAAATTTTGGAAGCCCAAAAATCCATAATCTGTCAAAATCTCACAAATCATATCAATTTATCATCATGTTCACACTTTTGTGAAGCCAAAAACTCACTCATCGTTAGATGAGAACTCCCACCTGAACAGCAAGATCCCAGAGCTGCTCTGCTCGTGTGGCTTCTGGGATGCTACACCCTGCGAGCCTCAGCCGGGGATTACGGCCCTTGGGAACTGATGGTTGCCGCTGGATGTTTCCAAAAATGGGGGTGCCCCAAGTTATGGATGGTTTGTTTATTTCATGGAAAATCCCAAAAGAATCAATGCATGATAACTAGGGGTGCCCCACTCAGGAACCCCCCTGAAAGATCCATCTAACAGCTCTGTGTTCCAGCCTAAGAATCTCGAAGAGGTTGTTGAACTTCCCCAAAGCCTGAAAAAATGATCGCGAATCAACATGCATCATGATTTGTGCTGATTTTCAGGCATTCTCACCAGAATTTTCAGAATACTTCTTTGATCATCTGGTTGGTGGTTTTAACCATCTTGAAAAATATTTGTCAATGGGAAGGATGACATCCCATATATGAAATGGAAAATAAAACATGTTTGAAACCACCAACCAGTCATGTTTCATAGCTACGGAAAACCTGGACAGTCTCAACCTTCGCGGCTGCCGGCGAAGATTTCACCAAAAATTTCACCGAAAAGTCATCGTTTTTTTGCGCAACATTGCCATTGAATCTGGGCTCATAATATGTCACTAACCTGAAATGTTTTATGCCATAAAAGGGGATGATTCCCTCAAAATTGATCCCAGTGCAGGAGAACAGGCTTTGGTCGCTAATTTTTTGCCATTGAATTCATCCTTCGGCCTTCATGATTGCAGCGTCATCTGCCCTCTTCCGTAGTTGCAAGGCCTGTAGGACCTCAATGAAATGATGATCAAACAGATGGGCTTCCCAATTTCTGGACCCAATCACGCCCACAATATGAGTAATCATATGTAGATATATATATATATATTACTATATATTTAGTTGCCATGGGCGCTGCTGGGCGCCTGGGTGTTTTGTTGTCTTTTTGGTGTTTTTTTTGTTTCCTTCTGTTTCTCTGTTTTTGTTTGATGATGGGGTGGAGTGGGGTGGGGTGGGATGTTAACGTGCATGTTCATGTTCATGTTATGCTGACGATGTTACGTTTATCATGAGGTGGGGTGGGGTGGGATGTTAACGTTCATGTTCATGTTACGCTGAAATTGTTCCTTGGTTGAAGTAGTTTTTGAGACGCTAAAAACAGGCGTGCAAGGCTGCATGCGCAGTTACATGGGGAAGTGCACGCAAACATCCTTAAAACAACCATGCGCCTCTCAGTGCCGTTCCCATTTAGTTAGTTAGTTATACGTATTAGAATAGATATATTCGATATAGTAATAATAATATATATATGTATATATATACAT